CACATCACAACTGTCCTCGGGTCTTTACACTGGCTCCCAGTTACATTCATAATAGATTTTAAAGTATTATTACTGGTCTATAAATCACTTAATGGCCTAGGATCTGAATATATTACAGATATGCTCACTGAATACAAACCTAAAAAATCACTTACATCTTTAGAATCATATAAAAATTCCAAGAGTCCAAAGCAGGGTGAATCTGCTTTCAGCTACTTTGCCCCCTGCTGCTGTAATCAGCTTCCAGAAATGATCAGATGTGCTCTAATAATAGGCACAATTAAATCGAGACTGAAAACACATCTGTTTAGCTGTGCCTTGACTGAATGAGCACTGTGCTACATCCGACAGATCGCTTTATTATGTCCTTCTCTTTTTCATTATTTTATAAACTATACTAAACATTTTTATCAGTTTTTTCTATCATTTTTATTATTTATTTTTCTTTTTTTTTATACTTGTCTCTTTTATTCCTGTTTATGTAAAGCACTTTAAATTCCCACTGTGTATGAAATGTGCTATATAAATAAACTTGCGTTGCCTTGCCTAGTGAAGGTCTTAAACGAGTAAAAGTGCTAAGATAAAACCTGGTTCAAATGAACACCCAATTTGACACCCAACTCACAGATGCTATAATGTCTTGCACATTGGTGTGAGAAGCATCACCTTAACCAACCAACTGCAATGTGCAACCTGAGGTGATGCTTGAGCTTTTTTTTTTTCTTCTTCTTCTTCTTCTTCTTGTTACAGTTCACATGCAGACACACTCATCTGACAGCTGCTGATTCAGAAAGAGTCCCTGAGTTGTCAGTGTATTGTCATTTCTATATATCATGTTGAAGTAATTGGCTCTGGCCTATATTAAGGGCTTTTATTCTTAACACTTTGGGCTCTATTTTAATGATCTAGGCGTAAAGTCTAAAGTGCATGGCACAAAATTGATTTCCTTCATCAATGTGCGTTATCTAACCAGCCCCCACCCCCGGGCCCTTATTACTGAAAATATTAACAAATTGCACCAAACATGTCTTGCACCCTATTGCGCCGGGTGTATTATAGGGCTCATAGTCTCATCATAAAAAAAAAACGAAACCAAGCAAAATTGCTTTTTTAAAACATATTATTATTAGTGTATTATTTAGAATTTACAACATGATCTGCTAAAAGTAGTTTACATTACTCATTTCTTTCCTTATACATTTTTTTTAAACTATAATTTTAATTTATTTTCTACGTTTCTACATTTTTCCCATATATACAATCTTATCTGTGCGAGTTAATTAATCTATTTAAAGGGCATCAATGATAAGGATCAACTTTTGGAAGGTTTGGACAGAACTGTGTGTAGGTATAGTGTGTGTCCACTGTCATATTGGAGTGATACAAACCCAACAAGTCTCTTTTTTTTTCTTTTTCTTTTTTTTCTTAACATTAAGATTGAAATCCCAGTGAATTTGAGGCCGACCGCAATGTGACGTAGGAGTGCAGTTTTCCCCGCTCACCGAATAGGTTGACAGGTGGAATGTTTTTATATTAACATGTACACACGTCCACACAACATTGTTTTTGCAAATAAACTGGGATTAAAATATTTGTTACAACTTTCTGTAATTTATAAAAGGTTTATAAGTTTAAAACATTTTTAAAACGGAGCATGTTTGTAATAAAGACAGTAAAGTTGCTATGTAATCTGTTGGGAAAAAGGAATATTTTTTTATTATTTTTGTCTCTTTTTCTTTTCATTAAACAGTTATTTATATTGGTCATATATTAACTCAACTTTTTCAGGAGTTCTAGTTCTGGTTTTGCATTAATGAAACATTTTTGCAGAAGTAGATAAATGCTGGTCCAAAATTAAATTAATCTCTGCAGAAACTTTCTATCAGCAGAAAGATGTTAAAACTGAACAGCACAGAAAGTCTTATGCTTTTAATGCTGTGCAGAGAATTTGTAGAAAAAATAAAGGTGATTAATGAACATTTATACACAAGTGTTTATGTGTATAAACTAAAGCATCTGTATTGTGAGAAGTGCTTCTCATATGATATGTGAACGCCCCTTACAGCTTTACTGTAGACATTTCCTCGAGCGAGAATGACGTTGACTGAAACCTGTTTGTTGCACACCACACCCACTAAAAAGATACCCTTTTGGCAGTGAAAATTCAAGCCTGATAAAGGTGACCCATGATGGACTGGAGAATGATTGACAAGTGACGAATTTCACTAAACTCCACCAGTTAATATCAGCTGCCTAAATAAGTTGAAGTCAGAAAATGAAAATTGTTGCACACCTCCTGAATGTAACTTTTGCATTGCATTGATAACAGAATTCTGTGATTCGAATTATTCACTTTTATCCAATAAATTGCTAATATGTTAAACGTTAAAGAAAAACCTCTCCTGACCTTTTTTATTGAACATGCATGGAACTGGTTGTATATTCCAACAAATTCCTATAACCACTATAATCTTAAGTTTATAATCATCCAAGTCTGTCTCTCACTGACGGCCCTTTGAAACGCACGATGAAAGAGACAGACACATGGGAGCAGTGGGCGGGGAGAAGCAGCTCATTTGCATTTAAAGCCACAGGCTTCAAAACAACTACAATGTAATCAGACTACAAATAGGTAGATTCTGAAGGCTATAATAAAGAATCTGGGGGCTATTTTGAGCTGAAACGTTACAGTCACTTTCTGGAGACACTAAAGGCCTATCTTACATCTTGTAAAAGGGGTGAAATACTGTAGGTGCACTTTAAATGTAAATCTTTAAGTTGTTTTTAGATGTGGCTTATCTCAATACACTGAAATACAGAAAAGTGTCAGACAAACTTGTATTAGACTATTTTTGACTTCATCTGTCCACATATATTAGTGTTGGGTATATACAGTTGAAGTCAGAATTATTAGCACCCTTTGAATTTTCTTTTCTTTTTTAAATATTTCCCAAATGATGTTTAACAGATTCAGGAAATTCTCACAGTTTGTCCGATAATATATTTTCTTCTGGAGAAAGTTTTGTTTGTTTTATTTAGGCTAGATTAAAAGCAGTTTTTAATTTTTTTAAAAAACCATTTTAGGGACAAAATTATTAGCCCCTTTAGGCTATATATATTTTTCGTTAGTTTACAAACCATCATTATTTAATAACTTGCCTAATGACCCTAACCTGTCTAGTTAACCTAATTAACATTTAAGCCTTTAAATTTCACTTTAAGCTGTATAGAAGTGGCTTGAAAAACACCTAGTAAAATATTATTTACTGTCATCATGGTAAATATAAAATAAATCAGTAGAAATGAGTTATTAAAGCTATTATGTTTAGAAATGTGCTAAAAAAATCTCTTTGTAAAACAGAAATTGTGGATAAAATTAAACGGGGGCTAATAATTCAGGGGGCTAATATTTCTGACTTAAAATGTACATGCTTGATAATTAATGATGGTTGTCACTTAATTGGTTTTGTGTGAGACAGCGAGTCTGTATTTCTGTATTTGCTGTAAATTGCTCCACAAATAGTTGAAAGTCTTTCAATGCATGTATTGTAAAAAAGACTTTAATGTATTTGTGAAACACTTTTATTAAATGAAAATTTAAAACACTCTGGAACACCGAAACTGCTAACAAAACCTTACAAAGACAAATCGCAGTAAACTGAAAGATTGTACATTTATTAATACACTGACGGATATATCATTAGTTGTAGCTTCAATTTATTATTATGTAAATGACAAAATGTTTATTCATTTTAACTATTTAATGTTGTTCAAGAAATCCAATGTTTTGTACACTCAACTTAAAAACTTTGAGTTTTGCAAGTGCCGTTTACGTACGTTCATGAGCTGAACTTTCTGATGTAAATATAAAAACACAGGTCGAGTGAGGTTGACGACAAGATTCTGGGTAAACGAATGAGTTAAAGTTGGAAAGTTTTGATCTACAATTCGACATGGATTTACATTAGAACTATCAGAAGAGTTCAAATCACTTTGGTTGGAGCATGCTGGTGATGCGCTGGTACTGCTTGTTATTGAGTCAATCATGTTTAATAGAGGAATTTGTGCAGAAAAATGACCTTACACATGATACTGTTCTGCCAATCAAAGAGATGCAGTGACCAGATGTTTAGCTTCGTAGATGACAACACCTTACTCTCTTCAAATAGTTAAATATTGACAAATACATCCAATATTTGCCATCTTTTATTTGATTGAGTCATTTGCATTGCTTCAAGGGATTGTAGGTTTTTCCCTCAGCAATGACATAGTCTTTTACTGATTTCCATACTTTTGCTTCATGACACAGTTCTGAATGATGCACTCAGAAATTCAGGCCTTAAAGAAAGTTTCTCACTAGTGATTAAAAGTTTGTAGTAATGTGGTGCATTCAATTCAAGTAAGATCTTGCAAAACAAAAATAGAAAAAACAAAAATCTTGCAAAATAGAGAGGAATAGAGTAACTAAAGGAAGCAAAACTAAATGCTGGACTATGAGAATGGGAGACATGCCATATGTGACGGCTCCAGTGTGGTTTCTTCCTTTATTGCTTGTTAACTTGTGACTCTTATTAGCAGCAAACATTTCCTGCATACCGGTGCGCGTTTCCTATTACTGTAGCTCACTCCAGCTCAGTTACATCTGTAGACTTTTGAGCATGAATTGCATGTTTCAGGTTTGCCACAGAAGTTCAGTTGGGTTTAAGTGTGGCTCACAAAGTGTCTTTTTTGCTTTTCTTTCTTGTTTATGGTGCTTGCATAAGGATATACACATCTGATGAATACAAAAGAAAAGAAATTTTTATTTTTCCTATAGACTTCTTCAACCTGTTGTTTTGTAATTGTTTACAGAAAAGTTTGGAAAAAAACATTTATCATGAACCTTTTATTCATTTAGAATCTTCATTGTGGTTTTTCTCCTTTTTTCTCAGCATTTTCAGGAAGTGACAAGCATAAGACGTTCTCACCTCGCAGCGCTTGAGCTCAGTGCAGTTGTTGACATGAGATATGAAGCTGTTTGGACTGTGTTTCTCTGCTGGGGTCATGATGATCTGCTGCTGCTGTCTTATACATGTCAGAGGTCAGTCAATTCAGAGTGATTTACTGTATACATGGGTGTTGTTCATGACACATCATTTTTTTATTATTATCTAGCTCTTGTTCATGTGTTTCCACACAGGCAATGGTGTTTGTAAAAGGAACTTGATTACAAGAATAAATGTAACCACTGAACTGGAGTCTAACGTCCTGCTGCCTTGCCTGTTTGATCTAGATCTCTTTAGATCAAAACTGATAACAAATTCAAGTGCTGTCTGGAGTCAGATTAGTACAACTGTTCAGCACATTGTAGAGATCAAAGTAAATGGGGAATCAAGTTTCTGGGATAACAGACGTGGTAGAATTAAAGCTTTCTCTTCTCAGTCTGGATCTGGAAACTTCTCCATCCTCATTAATAAAGTGCAGAGCTCTGATCTCGGTCTCTATCAATGTGAACTCTTCAGAGAATTCAACTGTTCTCTGGCCTATACAGAAATCAGTGAGTGCTTGATTTTTACATATTTACATGGAAATTATGTTTATGAAAAATGTAAAGGTATTTACATCAATATCTGATCTTGATCAGGTCTCGCTCTTGTGGAGTTTTTATTTCTCGATAACTGGCGGCTCGTGGTTGCAGCAGCAACTGGAGGAGGATTTCTGCTTCTCTCTCTCGTCTCTCTCTCTGTTTACTTTGCGTGGATAAAACGTAAGTCACTGCACTGCAAATGTTACTAACTTTTTAATGCTATACGCACTATCCAAACAGATATGGCTGAAAAGCAAACAGTAGGTAAATAAATAAATTAAGCTGTATATAAATGGTTAAAGAACTTATACATTAAAATGTTATAATCAATACATATTTTATCAAGTGCCTCTGAAATGATCAGCTGAGAAGCACACTAAAACTGAATTTCACCCAAAGTATTGTATAAGTGAACTCTTTAAGCTGGTATTCCAGATTTCAGTTTTGTTCATTCCACCGATGAATCATCCAAAGGGTGAACTATCCCTAAAGTAGCAAAAATTTATATTTTTAAATTGAACATGTTGGGAATCCTGGCAATTAAATTAACAATGAAATATATTGCAAATACAGTTCAAGTCAGAATTATTAGCCCCCGTTTATTTTTTTTTCTCCCCAATTTATGTTTAACGGAGAGCAGATTTTTTTCAACACATTTCTAAACAAAATAGTTTTAATAACTCATTTCTAATAACTGATTTATTTTATCTTTGCCATGATGACAGTAAATAATATTTGACTAAATATTTTTCAAGACACTTCTATACAGCTTAAAGTGACATTTAAAGGCTTAACTAAGTTAGTTAGGTTAACTACACAGGTTAGGGTAATTAGGCAAGTTATTGTATATCGATGGTTTGTTCTGTAGACTACTGAAAAAAATATAGCTTAAAGGGGCTAATAATTTTGACCTTAAAATAGTTTTTTAAAAATTTAAAACAGCTTTTATACTAGCTGAAATAAAACAAATAAGACTTTCTCCAGAAGAAAAAAATATTATCAGACATACTGTGAACATTTCCTTGCTCTGTTAATCATAATTTGGGAAATATTTAAAAAAGGAAAAAAAAAGGAAGCTAATAATTCTGACTTCAACTGTATATCAATAAAAATAATAATTTAAAAAACAATGTCAATAAAGCCTTTTGGCTTAACACAGCAAACTGAGCCAATGAAGGCGTCTCGGCTGACCACGATTTGATACATATCCTTTATTTGTGAACTTTACATTATTCTGCAAGAACAAGTATAAAACTGAGCAGAACTGGTCAAAGGTAACCCCCAAATCAGTTTCTTATAATGAGAATTTAGTTGACAATGTCTTGGATTATTTTCTTTGCAGGCACAATTTAACAAGATTAAGTGCGACAAACAGTACAATTTTACTTTATGGAAACAATCTTCTCTGTTTTCAGGGCAAGCACTCATCAGTGCACCAGTTGAACACGGAGCGAACAACTGTCTTAACAGTAAGGAGAAATATTCTGAATTTACAAATATTCAACTACATAAAAATAACTATGGTCTAAAATGAGTTGGTGTATTTTATAAAGTGATGCAAAAAAATTTGCTAATGGTTTAATAACTTGTTATGTAAATAAAATGTACTAATTGTTTTCAAGATATTTTAGGACAAACAGATATAATATATCCTATGAATCCCTTGTTCAGAACCCCTTAGTGTTCCTGTAAAAAAGAATGCATACCCAAAGTAAATTATATGCTATTTTTGAACCATTTTTAGCACAAGCATGGCTTTGGTCTTTTTTTGAAAGGTGACACAATGAGGTTTATTCCTTAATAGTCCGAATCACTGTAAATGTTATTGGAATTAAGTTATTAAACGTTAAACTTAAGACACACTAAAAAAATAAAGAAATAATTTAAAAACCGCCTAAAATTTTTATCTTGCCTAATGCCTGCACAAGTCTATTACTAAGAGATATTAGTTTGAAAAGACAATTGAATCAAAGCTAGTATTTTATGAAGTGATGTAGAAATCTTGGCTGATGATTTAATACATTGTTATATGAATAAAATGTAATAGTTGTTTCCTCAGATATTCCAGGACAAACAGATGAAGTAACCTATGCATCAATTAATCATAAACCCCGTCACCACCAGGAAAGTGAAGGTAATTATTATTGCAGTGAAGCATTGCAGACGTTTTGCTTGTTCTGCACATCCAGCATGTGAAATGTGGATTTCATGAAACATTTTCTCATGATCTTTTTCTCTACTTCCTCATCAGTTCTTGCAAATAAAAGTCCCACAAATGCATATAAATTCGAACATATCAACTCAGAGACTGTCCTGTACGCTGCTGTCAAAAGAAGAGACAAGTGAGCTGCAAAGAATCCAAATCAAAGAACTCTCTCTTTTATTACTTAGATTTTGCCTGCAACCATCTTGTGTAGTTTGGAAAATGTTGTTTAGCATATCTTGGAAATAAAATGACCATTTAAAATAGGAGAATTATGTAATTTCATGGGGATTTGAATTAGATATAGGTTTTAAGTTTTAAAATAATTCAAGTGACTAAAATGTAGTAAATGAGGAAGATCCACAAACCTTGTCTGGATCAAAATCAAACAAATATTAACATTTGTTGTAATAACTGTTGTAATAACTTTTGTCTTCTGGAAAATCTTATTTGTTTTATTTTGGCTAGAATGAAAGCAGTTTTTTACTTTTTTAAAAACATTTTAAGGTAAAAATGTTTAATTTAATTTAATGTCTACAGAACAAACCACTGTTGTACAATAACTTGCCTAATTACCCTAACCTGCCTAACTAACCTAGTTAAACCTTTAAATGTGAATGTGTGTCTTGAAAAATATCTAGTCAAATATTATTTACTGTCACGGCAAAGATAAAATAAATCAGTTATTAAAATGAGTTATTAAAACTATTATGATTAGAAATGTGTTTTAAAAAATCTGCTCTCCGTTAAACAGAAATTGTGGAAAAATAAACAGGGGGCTAATAATTCAGGGGGGCTAATAATTCTGACCTTAACTTATATATTCATGCTTGATGGTTAATGTTGACCGTCAGTTTTGTGGGAGACAGAAAGTCTGTATTTTTAAAAATTGCTCCATAAATAGTTCAAAGTATTTTTACATCACATGCATGAAAAGATGTATTCTGTTTTATTTGTTTGACAAGTAAAACATGTTTTTACTGTATGTATAGCAAAACATTTTTAAATACTGGTTCATGCAACTGGGTCTCACTCCAGCGACCTTTGAGCATGAATTGCATGTTTCAGGTTTGCCACAGATGCTCAGTTGTGTGGCACACAAATCCAAGTGTCTTTTTTGTTTTTCTTACGTGCTTGTATGTGGTGCTTATATATAAAGATTGTGAATACAAAACAAATTAAATGGAAATCAAATCTAAAATGTATTTCAGAAAAACTGCTATTCACAAAATTCTTGAACCTGCTGGTTTGTAATTATTTAAAGGAAAATTTGGAAATAATGTTCGTCACGAACCTGTGATTTATTTAGAGTTATCATAGCCCCTTTTTTCAGCATTTTCAGGAAGTGAAAAGTGTGAGAAGTTCTAAACCGACAGCTCTTGAGCTTAGTGCATTTGTTGAGACATGAAGCTGTTTGCACTGTCTTTTACATGTCAGAGGTCAGTCAATTCCGATAGATTTTTCCGTATACATGGGTGTTGTTTATGATCTATTTAATGTTTTATTACATCTAGCTTGTGTGAATGTTTTTTTCCACACAGGTGATGGTGTTTGTCAAAGAAAATGTATTAAAAAGAATAAATGCCTGTTTGATCCAGAAAATTTTGATTAAAACCTGAGCATACATTCAAATGCTGTATGGATTCACATTAAAGGGCATCCTTAATAACAATCATCTTTTGTAAGCTGTTTGGACAGAACTGTGTGTAGGTATAGTGTGTCCACAGTAATATTGGGGGATATAAACACAATAAGTCTCTTTTTTTTATTTCCTGACATTAAATATGATGTTATATGATCCTCATCCCAGCAATTTTGAGGCTAACCGGAACATGAAGTAAGAGTGTGGTTTCCCCACCCACCGAATTGATTGACAGCTGCGTAATAACATGTCTCCTTAGTAACACAAATAATCATATCAACAAGATAGGACAATCATAAAGCAACTGGGATTAAAAGACCTGTTCAGCTCTCTGTGATTATCAATCATCATCAAATGTAATCAAGAATTAGTTTTACAAGTTTAAAACGTTTTTAAAACAGTGCATGTTTGAAATAAAGACAGTAAAATCATCACCCCAGCCACGTGTCTACAATTATAAAAGAAGATACTTCAATCCCAGTTTGTGGATGTTAAATCATGTTTGTTTTGTACATTAACATAACGGACATCCATACAGTAGTGTAAATTAATGTGTATCCTGTCATATTTGCCATGCAAAAACAATTTTAAGTTAAATGTGCACGTGTACAAACCTTGTAACAACATTGTGCGACTCATCATTGTAGAAAGACTTGAATTAACTCCACAACAAATACATCAAATAATCATTGGGAACGTTCTTACTGTAGTTTTTCTTATCAATGGTAGATTAGCTTCCTTTTTATCTGTCACTGTGCTGTTTATCTAAAGAAGGCTTCACAAATCAGAGCCATAAAGAGAGAGATGATAGGCAGGGGGTTGAAAATCTGCATGTACAGAGAGCTAATAAATAATCTGATGGGTGTTTTGGGCTGAAATTTTACAGACACATTCTGGAGACACAAAAGACTTATCTTGAAAAGGGAGTAAAATCGGTGCCCTTTATTACAGCTGTTCAGCAAATTACAGGGATCAAAGTAATTGATGAATCAGGCTTCTGTTATGGTAGGATTAAAGCTTTCTCTGCTCAGTCTGGATCTGAAAAATTCTCCATGCTCAACTTACAAAGCTCTGATCTTGGTCTCTATCAATGTGAACTCTTCAAAGAATTCAGCTTTTCTCTGTCCTATACAGAAATCAGTGATTGATTGATTGATTGATTGATTGACTGATTGACTGATTGACATGGATATTATTAGGCTATCAATGTTTAAAAACCTGAAATTACAAGTGGAAGAATTTAAAGTGTTTCCATAAGTTGTGTTGGTCAGGTCTCGGTCTTGTGGAGTTTTCATTTTGTACTAACTGAGGTGAGTTTACTCAATAATTTCAAAGGGATAATTTTCCCAAAAATGAGAATTTACTTAGCATTTACTGACCCTCAAGTGGTTTCATATAGGTTTCTTTAATCTGTTGAACACAAAAGATAATTTAACGAATATGAATTCGAGGATTACAAGTGTCCAGCTTTCTTTAAAATATCTTCTTTTGTGTTCAGTAGGAGAAAGCAAGTTAAACAGGATTGGAACATTAAAAACTGAATAAATGAAGACAGATTTTTCAGTTTTGGGTGAACTCTCCCTTTTAAAAAAGTGTGTAAACCCATTGTGTTAAAGTCAATGAATCGCATTTTACAACGTAGCCTCTCTGTATACAGAGTTAGATATTTTCTTTGAGTTCAGCTGCATGAGGCTGTGAATCATGACTTACTGAGAACTGAAGAGTGTGAAACTTAGCTGAGCTTTAGTCTGTCACTTAAACCACGGAAATCTTTTCATATGATCAGACAGAACCACAGATGCAGAAGCAGGATAAAACAGGTGCAGAAGCAGTAACCGTCATCCTAAAAGTAAAGCATTACAGATTAAAGCATTACAGATTGATGCATTAGTTAAATAATAGATGTAAAGCATTTCATATTGAAGATGAATGAAAACCCTGAAGGTCAAGATCCTTAAGGGAAATCGAGAGTGGAAATTACAACATATGTCAACCACAGTTTCTGTGTTGTGTGCTTGGTTAATTCTAGCTGGAAAGTGTCTCTCACACTATTGCTTCTTCTTTTTTCCTTTTTTATTCTTCTCAACAACAGTAAATAATGGGGTAAATTAGGAAAACTGTTGAAAATGAAAAGTTATTCTACATTGTGTGCACTGGTAATGTCTTTTCAAAAATGTCCTTAAATGTTTCATCAGCATCTCTTTAAAACAAACCTCTACATGAATGTGTTCAGACATAAAAACATGTATTCTGTCAGTTCCATAAGAATGAGATTAAGCTTAATGGCACATGAAGCTGAATAAAGAATTACTGTAGATTTACTGGAGTTAAGTAGATTTACTTAATATCTTCTAGGCTTTGTCTTACAAAAGCTATCAAGATAGATAGATAGATAGATAGATAGATAGATAGATAGATAGATAGATAGATAGATAGATAGATAGATAGATAGACAGATAGACAGATAGACAGATAGATAGATAGATAGATAGATAGATAGATAGATAGATAGATAGATAGATAGACAGATAGACAGATAGACAGATAGACAGATAGATAGATAGATAGATAGATAGATTGATATCTCGTCAAACTACTTATTTAAAATAAGATGAAACCACACTATTCCTGAGTATTTTAGGGGACAACTTAATTTTTTTATGTTCGTTCCACTTAAAATGGTAAAAAATGAAAAAGTTTACTTCATTTCTTCGTGTTGTCCAAACACCAATCGATTGTGTGGAATCCAACTTTTTTTTACAGATAGATTTTATTTAAATCCTAGTTTAATCTTAATTTGTTTAATCTTTATTTCCAGGTTAAATAATTTTTTGGTATGGCTGAACTCATTAATGGCTAAATTGAACAGATATTTAAGACATAGGATTGAGGATCTTTGTGTATCTTCAAATACAGTTGAAGCCAAAATTATTCGCCCTCCTGTACATTTTTTTTCAATATTTTCAATATGATGTTTAACAGAGCAAACATTTCTTCAGGCGAAAGTCTTTTTTTTTATTTTGGCTAGAATAAAAGCAGTTTAAAAAAAAAAAAAAATTAAGTCAATATTATTACCTCTCTTAAGCAATATTTAGTTTCGATTGTCTACAGAATAAATAAACCATCGTTAGACAATAACTTGCTAATTAACCTAGTTAAGCCTTTAAATTGCACTTTAATTTGAATAGTAGCATCTTGGAAAAACATTATGTATCATGGCAAAGATTAAAAAAAATATTGAAACTATTATTTTTAGAAATGTGTTTAAAAAAATCTTTCCATTAAACATATATATTGGGCCTGGGTAATGAAATATACAGGTGTATTATAATTTACTAAGGGCTGATAATTCCTATATGTATGCTTGACATTACACGACTTTTTCTTTGACCCTAGAGGGCGCTAATGTCTGAATGATCACCTAGTTTTTGCGTCTGACACCAAGGAGGCATACATGTGGCAAAAACATACAGTATTTCCTCAGAAAACTATATTGCTGTCTAGTACGTGCACTCCACATACACCAGAAAAACGGCCCCTCTGCGTCTCTGTATCACTAATTGCTGAGGTGACGCCATTGTTACTTAATGCAAACCTTGTGCAGTTGTACCTGTATTTTAATCTTCTCAGTGGAGATGGGCTCCCTTAGAATCTGGCAAGCTAACGTAATTCTAAGACCCGCACATGCACAAACTAAAGTTTAATTTTACGTGCTGTAGAGAGCGATCAAGACTGTTTTAACTACAGTAGCCCAGTGTGTCATGTGGAAGTACAGTAGGCTACAAGTGATATTTAACTAGTTTAATGTAGGGCATAGGGAGTGCTGTAACGAGCAGCTTATATAAATATCAGGTAAAACGAAATAAAGTTTGTTAATGGATGTCAAATACATTTAGTTGCCACAACACTAAACTGTCAGATTTGACTGGTTCAGTTTGACGTTAACATGCATGAATGAACAAACTGTTGGTTTTACATTGTGGGACAATCTACCAGAAACGTAGCTAAATTATCTGTCCTTACGGTGAATAAAAAGTATTTCATGCCAAAAAATAAATAAACAAATAAAATCTGAAATAGACCGATGGTTGATTTCTGTAAGTTGTTCTGTGAACGAATGTTTCATTTATTTGGTTCTCAGATTTTTGTTCTTTGATAAAAACACTTTAAAAATGTATAATCCCTGTGATTGTCCTTGTGCTAAGCCCAACTGAACCTACAGCATTAATATTTTCATTATGCTAAAAACTGTTATTTAGGGGACAAAACTTTAGAAAGAGCAAGTTTAAGTTGTGATCGTTCACTTCAATTGATAAAAAAAAAAACATCAAATTCTACAAATAAATAATACAAATAAACCGACAATTGTCCCATGTTTCGCTCAGTCCTGTCACATTTGCATCATGTTTGTTTTTTTATGATTTTTTTGAGGACGACAAGCTTAAAGGTCAGACCCCCTAACATTTTTTAATAAGTAAAAATGTACATTACTGGTAGAATGTCCCTTACGCATTTGTACTTTTCACATAATAGATTATGTCTTAAACACATCTGTTTCATAGATCTATAGGCTGTGTTCTATGTATTTTAGCCTATACTCTATATGTAGACCTATATCAATCTCACTTGAAAATATTTAAATGGTGTTGCTGAGGTGTGTTGGATAAGTGCAAAATTGAGTAAATTAAAATAAAATTATGAACTATATGTAAAGTAGGATAGTCTTTGTGAACTTTACTGAAGGATGGCTTAAGTAGATGTTGCAGATATTGGTCACACTTTATTTTGATGGTCCATTTGTTGAATTCAGGTTACATTCAGGTTACATTGCATCTACATGCCAACTAATTCTTATTAGATTATAAGTAGACTGTTAGGTTAGGGTTAGTGTGTTGACGTACTTGAAAAGTTTCTTATAGTCAGTTAAATGACTGTTGAAGGAGCAGTATCAACAGATATTAAGCAGACAGTCTACTATTACTCAAATTTACCATCAAAATAAAGTGTTACACAGATTTTATACACAACGTTACGTAGATGTGTTAGTATATTTTTAATGGAGAAAATCTTTCCCATTTTTTTGTTTTGTTTTACGAGATTGTTTTAAGCCAGAGGTGTCAAACTCAGTTCCTGGAGAGCCGCAGGTCTGCACAGTTTAGGTCCAACCCTAATTAAACACAGCTGATCAAACTAATTGAGTCCTTTAGGCTTGTTTGAAACCTCCAGGTAAGTGTATTGAAGCAGGGTTGGACCTAAACTTTGCAGAGCTGTGGCCCTCCTGGAGTTTGATTGATGGCACAAACATTTTTTTTTCTTCATATAGCTGTCATTTAGGAGGGGTTTCTATTGTAATGAATTCTAAAGGTAGGGAAGAGCGGGGCACAAAATAACACTTTTTTAGTTGTGGCGAAATAACGAACAAAGTAATGGGGTTAGACAAGTCATATGGTTTTACAAATATTTTTTGTCTCCTACAAATGAGCACCTTGAGTCCAAATGGATCATCTGTTAAAGGTTTCACCCCAATCTCATCAGCAAAAGCTTTCAATATGAAAGACTGAAAGACCTACTGTAGTGGACTGAGAAAACCTCCTACAAACTCAGTCTGATCACAGAAGATGGCAGACACCTCCTTAATGATCTATTTTCATGGTTTTTAAATTACCTCTTCAATGGTGATTTGGTGATTCGATGGTGATTTAAAAATCAATTGTGATTTGCCAGTTTAGAAACTGAATTTATCTTCCAAAGGTATTAAAAGATTGGAAATGAATTTCCTCCTCAAATATATGGGGTAAAATTGGTTGTTAGCCTGGAAAATAGAGGCAGGAAGATCTCTTATTGCAGAACATGTTTTATTAAAGATCAGGGCAGCTGTCAGCATAAATAAAAATCTGAGTCAACTTATCTTAAATGCAAGTGAGGACTGTTGATCTGCTGGAAAAGGTAAATAGCATAAATGCCACATGACTAGATATTGAGTCAGAGTATGCCACAAACACACATCAATATCAGAAGTTACTAAATATTTATGCCAACCTTAGTAATGTTCAGGCTTAGTTTATAATGTATATATGCTAAAAGAAAAACCGACAGTTCAACTACTGATTGGGACGACCACCCATGTAAATTTTTAAAGTGGTACAGGGGACCTAGCTATCATCATATTAGAAAGCCCTGGAGGAAAGATCAACCGTTAGGTCAGTTCCACTGCAGTGCATGAGGAAAAGTCCTACCTGAGAAGTGTGTCTTCAAGTGGAGGATTAACTTAGTTTCAAACATGAAAAAGCACAGTGGACAATGTCAACTCGACAGAATCTGGACAAATATGTCAGGCAAACAAAATAATTAAAGTACACAAGTTGCTGTTTGTACTGTCATGTTGTTCATACAATGAATTTCAACAGGACAGTTGGGCAAACATATTTCACCCTAAGTCATGTGCTTTATTTCTGTGTGAATGATGTGTCATGGTAAACACAGTCACTGACAATGATTGTAGAATTTAATGCTAAACCCACATTAGTTACACACATATATAAATATATTTATTGCACAATCACCCATCATTTCTTAATCAACTGTGGAGGCTCATATGAGCGTGAAGTTGCAAAAGTTTCCTGATGACTGCTCATATGTCTCATAGATGCACAGTGTATTTAGTGAACACACAGTTTAGTTTGCTGGTTATACAGCCGGGCAATGTACACAGTGGTGTGTTCATTTTGATCCATATTCACACACTCTCCAACCCATCTGAATCATTCCCTCCTTTAAACATATTTGTTTTATAAGCTCACAAATATTGTATTTAATAACATTATTTCTGTCTTTCTGTCAGCAGTGGCATGTTTGCTAAAGCTGTGATGCAGAACATTGTTTACAGTATATGTATATTACCGTAACTTCACACACATTTTATGTACCTTTAAAATTAGTTCCTGTTTCAGCAATGTACTTTTTTTGTGTGTGTTACCAGCAACACTATATAAGCCCTACCTTCGTTTAAAATGTTTTGTTAACACCTTACCTCCAGGTAAGTCTTTCCTCTTTCTTGGGAATTACATATAAGCTATACATTGGAAAACTTAATTTACTGATAAAATAACTTGGGTCAAAAAATTATTTTACAGTCATGGAGAGACCGTGTTTTCTTTTCTGCCTGGCAGTTTTAGCAGTGGCTGGTAAGATCAATTATATTGGTGTTACATGGTTTTTAAACACTTAATAAAAAGTTTTTTTTCTCTTAATATTTTGATAATGCTACATTAAGGGATGCAAAATACTGGAGTTATTTTATTTTGTTGAAGTACTTACTCTGGGGGATTCATGCTTTACACAAGTACAAATTCAACTGAAGAAAAGGGTACTTTTACTTAAGTACATTTCGGTAGAGAGAGCAGTGGTTTTTTTTTTTTCTTTTACTTAAAGCAATTTTAGTTCAACTTCTTTAAATGTTTATGCACAGCTAGTGTATTTCAGCCAATAATGAACTTGCGGTGAAAGCTTAATATGACTATTTTAAATTTCATAAGGTTCCTTTTACAGTATCGATGTTGTAAGTTAAATAGACTTAAGCACCATTTGGTTGTTAAAGCGTAAAAAGAGATGAAAGACCATTTAAACGCTGGCGCCGTCGCTGGCGCAGTGCTTCTTGTTCGGTTTGATACACACTTTATATCGTATCTCAATCAGGCAGTGATGATTTTTAAAGAAATCAGATCTTAAATGATGTGATTTTTGTATAGGATGACATTTTACTGGAAGCCCTCGGAAGTGACATTTCAGTTTATGTTTATAACATACATTTCTGAAGTTTGTATGAAATAAACCAATAACACACTGAGGTAGCTCATTATTTTTGTCCTTTTTGATATATAGTTGTCCATGTCTGTGCTTAATGACAGAACACTAAGTGCAAATCAGTAAAGATTATTAAAACCAATTAATATTTAACATAAGTATTTAACAGGATTGCTTTGAGTGTCAATATTATGTTTCTAAAAGTGAAAGTTTACTCAAAACCGAAAACCATGCCATCATTTATTCATCCTTCACTTTTCCCAAACCTGTTTGAGCTTCATTTTCATTCGTACACAATAAATATTTTTTATGTTGGAAACAGGCAACCATTGATTTTAATTGTATTTGTGTTTTTCTTACTATGAAAGTCAGAGGTCACAAGTTTTCAGCTTACATCAAAATTTTTGTTTGGTGTTTAACAGAAAAAGGAACTTTCACTCGAGGGGGAATAAATAGTGAATTCTTTTAGTTTTGGGTGATTTATTCCTTTCACAGCAGTAGATAAGTGCAGTCATAATTACAAAATGAATTGGCTGCCATCAATTTTAATCTATATAACTATTTTCTTAATAAATGAATTGACCACAAATCATGACACAATCACAAATAATGAAATAGTCTTGCTGTTTAGGGATACTCTACTATAAAAAAAATCTCATTGTTCACTCACCTTCATGCTGTCAAAATGTTTTTAACTTTTTTACTTCAGATAAATACAAAGATTTTTAGGCAAGTGTACAGAACCATATTACTACAAAATGTGTTTTTGGCCAGACTATTTTTACTTGTGCTTTTTCCACTCTGTATTTGTACCTTCATTCAAGCGTAGTTTTTATTACTTTGTAAACCTTTGGCATTATCATTACAATTGCTATGTTAAGTAGTAATTACTACTAATAATGTTTGCTAAATTTAAACTGTTTATCTGTAATCACAGTTTACCTATTTCTAATAACCGATTTATTTTATCTTTGCCATGATGACAGTAAATAATATTTTACTTGATATTTTTCAAGACACTTCTATAAAGCTTAAAGTGACATTTAAAGGCTTAACTAGATTAATTAGCTTAACTAGGCAGGTTAGGGTAATTAGGCAAGTTATTGTATAACGATGGTTTGTTCTGTACACTATCGGGAAAAAAAATAGCTTAAAGGGGCTAATAATTTTGTCCCAAAAATAGATTTTTTAAAAATTCAAAACTGTTTTTATTCTAGCCGAATTAAACAAATAAGACTTTTTCTAGAAGAAAAAACATAATCAGACATACTGTGAAAATTTCCTTGCTCTGTCAAACACCATTAGGGAAATATTTAAAAAAGAAAAACAAATCAAAAGTGGGCTAATAGTTCTGACTTCAACTGTATATATATATATATATATATATATATATATATATATATATATATATATATATATATATATATATATATATATATATATATATATATATATATATATATATATATATATATATATATATATATATATATATACACACACACACACACACATATATCCAGATAGAGAGATAGATAGATGTGTGTGTGTGTGTGTGTGTGTGTCTGTGTGTCTGTGTGTCTGTGTGTGTGTCTGTGTGTTTTAAATGCCAGTAACAGTAGTGTTTCTGTCTTACCTCAGCTGTCAGCGGATGTCCTATAGGGCGTGAATTCATCACAGCTTTCATGACAAATTATGAGTATGGACAAGCCAGTCTGAGCCTCACCATAACAGCACACTCCTCTCCAGCAACTGTGAAAGTTGAGATAAAGGCACTGAGTTACAGTCAGAAATTTGACATAGGACGAGGTGAGACCAAAAAAATTGTCCTCCCTTCAAATGCTGAAATTAACGATGAAGAAGTCTCCAGCAAAACAGTGTACATCTCTTCAACTGCTGACATCTCAGTCGTGTCGTCCAACTTAAAAGATTACACAGGAGACAGCAGTGTGATTTTCCCCATAAGTCAGCTTGGCAGGAGTTATGTAGCTTTTACTCCAGACACGGGTCCACCTAGATATCAAAAGCTGGTCACCATAGTCAATGGCAATTACATGAACAAAATCGAGATGACTTTCAGCTCAAAAAAAACTTTGCTTGATTCCATTTTTGGAATTGGAACCTCCAGAAAAACAGTCTCTTTAGCTCCCTATCAAGTTTATCAACTTCGCAGTGAAAAAACGTTGTCGGGAACAAAAATCACATCTGTGTCTCCAGTGGCTGTCCTGGCAGGAAACGAGTGCTCCATGATCATAGGCACCTGTGAGCATGTCTATGAGCAGCTGATCCCAGTTGAATTTCTCTCTAATGAATATCTGCTTCCTGCTATGCATCAGTCCTTAAGCATAGACACAGCTTTCGTGGTTGCCCCAGAGGACAACACTATTGTGTCCATTTTCGATAGTCGTATTTGGTTCCCCAAAAAAAGAAAGTTAAATTCTGGAGAAGTTTTACCCATTGATTTGAGCAAAAATTCTAAGATCATTCAAAGCAGCAAAAATGTCATGGTAATGTATTTCAGTAGCAATTTTCCGAATGACGAGTTTCTAACCAATGTCATACCCACTTCTGAAATGTCAAAGTCATGGACCATTTACTCTCAAGATTACTATGATAACACGCTTGTTGTTGTTGCCGAAGCTGCATCAGCCTCAACTATTAGTGGCTCAATGAAGTGGAAAACATTCCCTGCAAACAATAAGTTTGTATGGGCTACCAAGTCAATTGGTTCGCAGAGAGGTCCCATCACCATTTCTGGTGATTCGCTCATGGCTGCTTATGCTTTTGGTGGAAAAATAAGGCATGGATATGCCACAACAGGAGTGTGTAACACTGGTGAGTCATTTGAACATTCTTGGTTTAGGCAATCAGTCAGAAATAACCTATGAATTGTAACTGATTGAAATGTTAAACAAATAAACTTTCCTGTGTTTTCTAAGCCATAACAACAACGCCCCCTCCACCAGACCCCTGTGAGACAATGAAGTGTCGTCAGCAGGAGGAGTGCAGGAAGGGTGTCTGTGTTGCCACTTCCACTGCTACCTGCCATGCAGTTGGCGATCCCCATTTCAAAACCTTTGATGGGAAACTATTTGACTTTCAGGGAACTTGCACATATGTCATGGTCAACAGTACAAAGACTCAAAAAGGCCTCATACCCTTCAGTATCTTGACGAAGAATAATCACCGGGGAAGCACACGGGTGGCGTATGTGAGGTCGGTTTCTGTGCTTGTGTACACTCACACAATTGTGGTTGGCAGCCAGAAAGGAGTAGTAGAGGTAAAAATGAATGAAAAGCACTTCTAGTTTCTTGATAGATTTATAATCAGTGTGAATGATAACTAAATCTCTTTTTTTGGACTCTGTATTCTTGTTTCTCTGTCTAGTTTGATGGTGAAAACACTTACCTGCCTTTGAGTATAGATGGTGGAAAAATAAAGGTGAATCAGAGAGGGCTGAATGTTATAATATCGACAGATTTTGGCTTAGAGGTGAAATATGACTGGAATATGATGTTGTACATCACCGCTCCAAGTAGCTATTTCCAGACTGTAGGTGGTCTTTGTGGAAACTATAATGGTGACAGACGAGATGAATATATCGATCCTAAAGGCAACACACTCTCCAGTATCATTGACTTTGCAAAAACCTGGAAGGTTCCAGATAATGATCTGTTTTGCAATGATGACTGTAATGGACAATGCCCAAGTTGCACTGTAAGTCTTCAGGAAGAGTACAAAAAAGAGTCAAACTGTGGTGTCATAGCCAAATCCGATGGGCCATTTGTTTTGTGCCACAACACTGTGGATCCGCGCATGTATGTAGATAATTGTGTATATGATGTCTGCATTAACAATGGGATCAGAAACTTCCTCTGCAACAACATTCAAAGCTACGTTGATGCTTGTATGTCAGCTGGAATTAAGATCACTGGAAACTGGAGGACACTTGCGAACTGTCGTAAGTGTACACATATATTTAATACAATCAATATTGTTTATTTTTAAATATAAGCATACATTTATTTCGTTTACTTGAATTGTTTTTGCCTTTATGCTGGCATTTGAAGAGACAATGTTTGTGCCGTATAATAATTATTTGCATTCTTCTCCTCCAAGCACTGAGCTGTCCAGTCAACATGCATTATGAATTCTGTGGCACAGCCTGTGCTGCATCTTGTGCTGATCGTAGTGCCCCAGACAAATGTACACTGCCATGTGTGGAGGGCTGTCACTGTAATACAGGTTTTGTCCGGAGTGGAGCTGAATGTGTACCTATGAATAAGTGTGGCTGCACATACAAAGGCCGATATTATCTTGCTGAGCAGTCTTTTTGGAGTGATGCAAAATGCACAGAGAAATGTGTGTGCAACTCTCAAACTGGAAATGTTGAATGCACACCAACAAAGTGCAAGAAGTCTCAGATGTGTGACACACGGAATGGAGTGAAAGATTGTTACCCATTGTCATATAGTACCTGCCAGGCTGCAGGAGATCCACACTTCCGCACATTTGATGGCAAGGCATTTGACTTCCAAGGAACCTGCACATATTATTTGTCCAAACTACTGAACACAGCTGACCCGACACTGATACCCTTTGAAGTATTGGTCAAGAATGAGAACAGAGGAAGGAACTTGGCAGTTGCTTACACTAAGACTGTGTCCTTAAAAGTTTATAACTACACTATTGTCTTAAGTAAGGATGACCCATTCACAGTGAAGGTCAGTACATTCAATAAGTCTAATGCACATTAATATGATTGACTGCATGTAGGCATGAAATGTCAATTATACACTGACTAACAATACTTCGAAAAACATTTTTTGTCCTAAAGGTCAACAATCTGTTTGTGAATTTGCCATTTGAGCAAAAGGATGGTCTCTTCTCAATATTCCGCAGCGGGTATTTTGGTGTTGTGAAAACTGACTTTGATTTGACTATGAAATTCAATTGGGACAGCCACGTAGCATTGACTCTCCCCAGCACTTACTACGGTGTCGTGGGAGGGCTTTGCGGCAACTGGAACGACAATATCAATGATGATTTTCTTACTCCTGACAAAACCCTTGCTGCAACTGCATCAATTTTTGGAACCAGCTGGAAAGTCCAGGATGATCCTGGATGTTCAGATGCATGTCAGGGAAAAGCATGTCCTAAATGTGATGTTGCAGAGAGAAATAAAGACACTTTTACAAAGCCTTGCAGCAAGATCACTGACAAACAGGGACCTTTTAAAGGCTGCCACAGTAAAGTGAATCCAAATCAGTTTTATGAGGACTGTGTGTATGATATGTGCATGTACGGTGGCCATTCAACAGCCCTCTGTAGTGCTCTTACTGCATACACAGCTGCTTGCCAACATGCGCTTGGTGCCGTGGAGTCCTGGAGAACTGACAGCTTTTGCCGTTAGTATTCCTTCCACTTTGTCTTTTAGATTTTGCCAAAGTTGATGAAAAAATTAATGACACTTATAACATTGATTTTCCACAGCTGCATCTTGTATGGACAACAGTCACTATGTGGTTTGTGCAGCAGGGTGTTCACAGACCTGCCACGGCCTCACAGAACCTAAGGCCTGTGTGGGGACTTCTTGCGTTGAAAGCTGTATATGTGATGAGGGCTTTGTCCTGAGCGATGGTGTCTGTGTATCTATGGAACAGTGTGGCTGTTCATACGAGGGCCTTTACTATAAAATGGGCCAAGTGTTCTTCCCTCAAGACAAGTGTCTCCAGAGATGCACCTGCAAAGAAAATGGAAAAGTTCAGTGTGATGATGGGTTCACCTGCAAACCCAACGAAAAGTGCCAAGTCCTGAATGGAGTACAGGGCTGTTTCCCAGATGGCAAAGCAGTTTGTTCAGTATCAGGATTTGGGTTCTATCAATCATTTGATGGAAGGTCCTTTAGCGTTCAAGGAGACTGTGAGTACAGATTGGTTGAAACAGCTCTGGACAGCGATGATGACTTGAGCTTTTTTAGTGTCTTAATAAAACAACAGTCCTCTGAGATGGTCTTCACTCGAAGAGTTGAATTACAAATAGAAGAATCCACAATTACTTTGCTGCCCGGCCACATCTGGGAGGTTCAGGTAATGTTCTAGTTACTGAAACACACAAAGAAGTTTTTAGACCTTTATTACGGTTACCTAAAGCGTTTTGTTGGTGTTATATTTGCAGGTTGACAAAGTTAAAACCAATCTTCCTGTCACTGTGGGTGAAGGACTTATACAAGTCTATCAGAGCGGTATTAACATTGTTGTGGAAACAGAATTTGGATTGAAACTGACATATGATACAGTCTCCGTGGCCAGAATTGAGATCCCATCCACTTTTAAAAATGCAGTCAGAGGTCTCTGTGGAAACTACAATGGAAACAGTGCAGATGATTTTCTCCTACCAGGTGGTATTCAGGCATCTTCTGAGGTAGATTTTGTTGAAGCCTGGGTTTCAGCATCAGATAAAATGATGTGCCAAACAGGCTGTGGAGCTAACTGTTTAAAGCCTGACAAAGACAAACAGACCACAGCAGAGACCGCTTGCAGCTTGTTAATCACAGAGAAGGGACCGTTTTCTAGTTGTTATGATAAAATTCCACCACAGAAATATTTTGATGATTGTGTCAAAGATGTGGCACAAGCAACAGACAAGACAGCTCATTGTCGCCACATACAAAACTACGTTGCCAGCTGTCAAACGATTGGGATATCAATCAACATTTGGAGGAACACAACCTTCTGTCGTAAGTTGTCGCATCCTTCAGGTTTATTAATAATTCTCTTCAAGCTTCTCTATATGCCCCTACTTAGGTCTGCTGATGGAGTTTTGGAAAAGTAAACATTCTACTTTAAACTGAACCCAAATCATTTTGTTAAAATTGCTTTGTTTTCTTCCAGCACTGACATGTTCTAAAAACAGCCACTATGAACTCTGTACCGACACCTGTTCATCTACCTGTGCAAGCCTGACAAAGTCACAGAGATGCCCGTTGTGTCAGGAAGGTTGTCAGTGTGACGATGGTTTCTTGTTTGATGGAGGTGAATGTAAGGCTTTGCAGAATTGTGGATGTCATGTAGATGGAACATTTTACAAGGTGAGAAGCTATCCCGTCTCTTTATTTTATGTTCTTTTTAAACAAAATTTCATTTTTAATTGTTAATTTTATTATTGATGTTAATTACCTATTCTGCAGTCTGGTGAGGCAGTTATTCTGGGAGAGTGTGAAGAGACATGCACCTGCACAGCTGGAGTGTTCACCTGTGTACCCATGGAATGTAAAGAGGAGGAGATATGTGGCGTAAAAAATGGTGCTATTGGATGCTACAGCAAAAGTACTTAGATTTTTAATAAATAGACCTTAAAATCAAAAGATAAATTTGTATGCAAGTTATCTCAATTTTCTTTCTTTTTGTTGTTTAATCATTCAAGCAATATACTGTCCAGTCAACATGCACTATGAGGCCTGCGGCACAGCCTGTGCTCCCACTTGTGCTGATCGAAATCCAGCAGAGTGTGCACTGCCATGTGTGGAGGGCTGCCAGTGCAATGCGGGTTTTGTTCGCAGTGGCGATGAGTGCATACCTGTGAAACAGTGTGGCTGCGCTTACAAAGGTCGATATTATCTCCCTGGTCAGACATTTTGGGGTGAAAAACAATGCACAGAGAAATGTGTGTGCAACTCCCAAACAGGAAATGTTGAATGTGCACCTGCAAAGTGTATGAATTCCCTGGTGTGTGGAGTACGGAATGGAGTGAAAGATTGTTACCCATTGTCATATAGTACCTGCCAGGGTGCAGGAGATCCACACTTCCGCACATTTGATGGCAAGGCATTCGACTTCCAAGGAACCTGCACATATTATTTGTCCAAACTACTGAACACAGCTGACCCGACACTGATACCCTTTGAAGTATTGGTCAAGAATGAGAACAGAGGAAGGAACTTGGCAGTTGCTTACACTAAGAGTGTATCATTAACAGTTTATGGATACACATATGTCTTAAGTAAGGAAAGCCCAGGCAAAGTGAAGGTCAGTTCATTGAAAAGACTTTTATACTCTGTATAGTAAATTCTGCATGCACAAACTGAGATAAATGTTACTGCACACTCATCTACAAAAACATGGGTTTGTCCATTAATGAAGTGAATTTGTTTTAAAGGTCAACGATCTGTTTGTGAAATTGCCATTTGAACTGGAAGATGGTCGACTCTCAATATTCTACAGTGGGTATTTTGGCATGATAAAAACTGACTTTGGTCTGACCTTGAAATTCAATTGGGACAGCCACGTAGCATTGACTCTCCCCAGCACTTATTACGGTGTGTTGGGAGGGCTTTGCGGCAACTGGAACGACAATATCAATGACGAGTTTCTTACTCCTAACAACACTCTTGCTGCAACGGCATCCATTTTCGGAACCAGCTGGAAAGTCAATGATGATCCTGGATGTTCAGATGCATGTCAGGGAAAAGCATGTGCTTCATGTGATGTTGCAGAGAGAAATAAAGACACTTTTACAAAGCCTTGCAGCAAGATCATTGACAAACAGGGACCTTTTAAAGGCTGCCACAGTAAAGTGAATCCAAATCAGTTTTATGAGGACTGTGTGTATGATATGTGTATGTACGGTGGCCATTCAACAGCCCTCTGTAGTGCTCTTACTGCATACACAGCTGCTTGCCAACATGCGCTTGGTGCCGTGGAGTCCTGGAGAACTGACAGCTTTTGCCGTTAGTATTAATTTATTTATTGCTCAATTCAAATATCTTAAACTACTCATAAAGTTTATAAGATGTTTTTTTACTATTCATTAACAATATTCTTTAATATGGTCTCTCCACAGCTACAACCTGTAAGGCACACAGCCAATATGAGGTTTGTGCAGCGGGATGTCCACAAACCTGCAGTGGTCTTACAGAGCCCAAGAGTTGTAAAGGCACACTCTGTGCTGAAGGCTGCACATGTGACAAGGGCTTTGTCCTTAGCGATGGTGAGTGTGTGGCTGCACAGCAATGTGGCTGTACTTACAAGGGCCAGTACTATCAGTTAGGCCAAGTGTTCTTCCCTCAAGACAAGTGTCTCCAGAGATGCACCTGCAAAGAGAATGGAAAAGTTCAGTGTGATGATGGGTTCACCTGCAAACCCAATGAAAAGTGCCAGATCCTGAATGGAGTACAGGGCTGTTTCCCAGATGGCAAAGCAGTTTGTTCAGTGTCAGGATTTGGGCTTTATCAGTCATTTGATGGAAAGTCCTTCAGTGTTCAAGGAGACTGTGAGTACAGGTTGGTTGAAGCAGTTCAGATTCAGGATGTAAAGAGCTCTTTCAGTGTCTTAATAAAACAACAGTCCTCTGAGATGATCTTCACTCGAAAAGTTGAAATACAGTTACAGCAATCTACAATTACTTTGCTGCCCGGCCACATCTGGGAGGTTCAGGTAATGTTTTAGTTACTGATCATTGTTTTAAGAGATCAAGATTCACTGACTACAAAGTGTTTTGTCAATCTTTTTTACAGGTTGACAAAGTTAAAACCAATCTTCCTGTCACTGTGGGTGAAGGACTTATACAAGTCTATCAGAGCGGTATTAACATTGTTGTGGAAACAGAATTTGGATTGAAACTGACATATGATACAGTCTCCGTGGCCAGAATTGAGATCCCGTCCACTTTTAAAAATGCAGTCAGAGGTCTCTGTGGAAACTACAATGGAAACAGTGCAGATGATTTTCTCCTTCCAGGTGGTATTCAGGCATCTTCTGAGGTAGATTTTGTTGAAGCCTGGGTTTCAGCATCAGATAAAATGATGTGCCAAACAGGCTGTGGAGCTAACTGTTTAAAGCCTGACAAAGACAAACAGACCACAGCAGAGACCGTTTGCAGCTTGTTAATCACAGAGAAGGGACCGTTTTCTAGTTGTTATGATAAAATTCCACCACAGAAATATTTTGATGATTGTGTCAAAGATGTGGCACAAGCAACAGACAAGACAGCTCATTGTCGCCACATACAAAACTACGTTGCCAGCTGTCAAGCGATTGGGATATCAATCAACATTTGGAGGAACACAACCTTCTGTCGTAAGTTGTCGCATCCTTCAGGTTTATTAATAATTCTCTTCAAGCTTCTCTATATGCCCCTACTTAGGTCTGCTGATGGAGTTTTGGAAAAGTAAACATTCTACTTTAAACTGAACCCAAATCATTTTGTTAAAATTGCTTTGTTTTCTTCCAGCACTGACATGTTTTAAAAACAGCCACTATGAACTCTGTACCGACACCTGTTCATCTACCTGTGCAAGCCTGACAAAGTCACAGAGATGCCCGTTGTGTCAGGAAGGTTGTCAGTGTGACGATGGTTTCTTGTTTGATGGAGGTGAATGTAAGGCTTTGCAGGATTGTGGCTGTCATGTAGATGGAACATTTTACAAGGTGAGAAGCTATCCCGTCTCTTAATTTCATGTTCTTTTTTTTTTACTTGAGGAAGCAGTGACATTTTTTAATCCTCAGTTTTAATGTTTTTTGGTTTTCATTAATCTGTTCTGCAGTCTGGTGAAGCAGTTGTTCTGGGAGAGTGTAAAGAGACATGCACCTGCACAGCTGGAGTGTTCACCTGTGTACCCATGGAATGTAAAAAAGAGGAGATTTGTGACATAAAAGAGGGTGCCGTTGGATGTTACAGCAAAAGTATTTAGATTTAGAACTATACCAAAAGAGATAAATATGTGTTTTTGTGCAAGTCTTTTCATTTTGTTACTTTTTGTTGTTAAATCCTTCAAGAAACATACTGTCCAGTCAACATGCACTATGAGGCCTGTGGCACAGCCTGTGCTCCCACTTGTGCTAATCGAGATGGTCCAGAAAAGTGTGCACTGCCATGTGTGGAGGGCTGCCAGTGCAATGCGGGTTTTGTTCGCAGTGGTGATGAGTGCATACCTGTGAAACAGTGTGGCTGCGCTTACAAAGGCCAATATTATCTTCCTGGTCAGACATTTTGGGGTGAAAAACAATGCACAGAGAAATGTGTGTGTAACTCCCAAACAGGAAATGTTGAATGTGCACCTGCAAAGTGTTTGAATTCCCTGGTGTGTGGAGTTCGGAATGGAGTGAAAGATTGTTACCCATTGTCATATAGTACCTGCCAGGGTGCAGGAGATCCACACTTCCGCACATTTGATGGCAAGGCATTCGACTTCCAAGGAACCTGCACATATTATTTGTCCAAACTACTGAACACAGCTGACCTGACACTGATACCCTTTGAAGTATTGGTCAAGAATGAGAACAGAGGAAGGAACTTGGCAGTTGCTTACACTAAGAGTGTATCATTAACAGTTTATGGATACACAATTGTCTTAAGTAAGGAAAGCCCAGGCAAAGTGAAGGTCAGTTCATTGAAAAGTCTTTTATACTCTGTATAGTAAATTACTGCATGCACAAACTGAGATAAATGTTACTGCACACTCATCTACAAAAACATGGGTTTGTCCATTAATGAAGTGAATTTGTTTTAAAGGTCAACGATCTGTTTGTGAAATTGCCATTTGAACTGGAAGATGGTCGACTCTCAATATTCTACAGTGGGTATTTTGGTATGATAAAAACTGACTTTGGTCTGACCTTGAAATTCAATTGGGACAGCCACGTAGCATTGACTCTCCCCAGCACTTATTACGGTGTGTTGGGAGGGCTTTGCGGCAACTGGAACGACAATATCAATGACGAGTTTCTTACTCCTAACAACACTCTTGCTGCAACGGCATCCATTTTCGGAACCAGCTGGAAAGTCAAGGATGATCCTGGATGTTCAGATGCATGTCAGGGAAAAGCATGTGCTTCATGTGATGTTGCAGAGAGAAATAAAGACACTTTTACAAAACCTTGCAGCAAGATCACTGACAAACAGGGACCTTTTAAAGGCTGCCACAGTAAAGTGAATCCAAATCTGTTTTATGAGGATTGTGTGTATGATATGTGCATGTACGGTGGCCATTCAACAGCCCTCTGTAGTGCTCTTACTGCATACACAGCTGCTTGCCAACATGCACTTGGTACCGTGGAGTCCTGGAGAACTGACAGCTTTTGCCGTTAGTATTAATTTATTTATTGCTTAATTCAAATATCTTAAACTACTCATTAAGTTTATAAGATGTTTTTTTACTATTCATTAACAATATTCTTTAATATGGTCTCTCCACAGCTACAACCTGTAAGGCACACAGCCACTATGAGGTTTGTGCAGCGGGATGTCCACAGACCTGCAGTGGTCTTACAGAGCCCAAGAGTTGTAAAGGCACACTCTGTGCTGAAGGCTGCACATGTGACAAGGGCTTTGTCCTTAGCGATGGTGAGTGTGTGGCTGCACAGCAATGTGGCTGTACTTACAAGGGCCAGTACTATCAGTTGGGCCAAGTGTTCTTCCCTCAAGACAAGTGTCTCCAGAGATGCACCTGCAAAGAAAATGGAAAAGTTCAGTGTGATGATGGGTTCACCTGCAAACCCAATGAAAAGTGCCAGATCCTGAATGGAGTACAGGGCTGTTTCCCAGATGGCAAAGCAGTTTGTTCAGTGTCAGGATTTGGGCTTTATCAGTCATTTGATGGAAAGTCCTTCAGTGTTCAAGGAGACTGTGAGTATAGGTTGGTTGAAGCAGTTCAGATTCAGGATGTAAAGAGCTCTTTCAGTGTCTTAATAAAACAACAGTCCTCTGAGATGGTCTTCACTCGAAAAGTTGAAATACAGTTACAGCAATCCACAATTACTTTGCTGCCCGGCCACATCTGGGAGGTTCAGGTAATGTTTTAGTTACTGATCATTGTTTTAAGAGATCAAGATTCACTGACTACAAAGTGTTTTGTCAACCTTTTTTACAGGTTGACAAAGTTAAAACCAATCTTCCTGTCACTGTGGGTGAAGGACTTATACAAGTCTATCAGAGTGGTATTAACATTGTTGTGGAAACAGACTTTGGATTGAAACTGACATATGATACAGTCTCCGTGGCCAGAATTGAGATCCCATCCACTTTTAAAAATGCAGTCAGAGGTCTCTGTGGAAACTACAATGGAAACAGTGCAGATGATTTTCTCCTACCAGGTGGTATTCAGGCATCTTCTGAGGTAGATTTTGTTGAAGCCTGGGTTTCAGCATCAGATAAAATGATGTGCCAAACAGGCTGTGGAGCTAACTGTTTAAAGCCTGACAAAGACAAACAGACCACAGCAGAGACCGTTTGCAGCTTGTTAATCACAGAGAAGGGACCGTTTTCTAGTTGTTATGATAAAATTCCACCACAGAAATATTTTGATGATTGTGTCAAAGATGTGGCACAAGCAACAGACAAGGCAGCTCATTGTCGCCACATACAAAACTACGTTGCCAGCTGTCAAGCGATTGGGATATCAATCATTGTTTGGAGGAACACAACCTTCTGTCGTAAGTTGTCGCATCCTTCAGGTTTATTAACAATTCTCTTCAAGCTTCTCTATATGCCCCTACTTAGGTCTGCTGATGGAGTTTTGGAAAAGTAAACATTCTACTTTAAACTGAACCCAAATCATTTTGTTAAAATTGCTTTGTTTTCTTCCAGCACTGACATGTTTTAAAAACAGCCACTATGAACTCTGTACCGACACCTGTTCATCTACCTGTGCAAGCCTGACAAAGTCACAGAGATGCCCGTTGTGTCAGGAAGGTTGTCAGTGTGACGATGGTTTCTTGTTTGATGGAGGTGAATGTAAGGCTTTGCAGGATTGTGGATGTCATGTAGATGGAACATTTTACAAGGTGAGAAGCTATCCCATCTCTTAATTTCATGTTCTTTTTTTTTTACTTGAGGAAGCAGTGACATTTTTTAATCCTCAGTTTTAATGTTTTTTGGTTTTCATTAATCTGTTCTGCAGTCTGGTGAAGCAGTTGTTCTGGGAGAGTGTAAAGAGACATGCACCTGCACAGCTGGAGTGTTCACCTGTGTACCCATGGAATGTAAAAAAGAGGAGATTTGTGACAAAAAAGAGGGTGCCGTTGGATGTTACAGCAAAAGTATTTAGATTTAGAACTATACCAAAAGAGATAAATATATGTTTTTGTGCAAGTCTTTTCATTTTGTTACTTTTTGTTGTTAAATCCTTCAAGAAACATACTGTCCAGTCAACATGCACTATGAGGCCTGTGGCACAGCCTGTGCTCCCACTTGTGCTAATCGAGATGGTCCAGAAAAGTGTGCACTGCCATGTGTGGAGGGCTGCCAGTGCAATGCGGGTTTTGTTCGCAGTGGTGATGAGTGCATACCTGTGAAACAGTGTGGCTGCGCTTACAAAGGCCAATATTATCTTCCTGGTCAGACATTTTGGGGTGAAAAACAATGCACAGAGAAATGTGTGTGTAACTCCCAAACAGGAAATGTTGAATGTGCACCTGCAAAGTGTTTGAATTCCCTGGTGTGTGGAGTTCGGAATGGAGTGAAAGATTGTTACCCATTGTCATATAGTACCTGCCAGGGTGCAGGAGATCCACACTTCCGCACATTTGATGGCAAGGCATTCGACTTCCAAGGAACCTGCACATATTATTTGTCCAAACTACTGAACACAGCTGACCTGACACTGATACCCTTTGAAGTATTGGTCAAGAATGAGAACAGAGGAAGGAACTTGGCAGTTGCTTACACTAAGAGTGTATCATTAACAGTTTATGGATACACAATTGTCTTAAGTAAGGAAAGCCCAGGCAAAGTGAAGGTCAGTTCATTGAAAAGTCTTTTATACTCTGTATAGTAAATTACTGCATGCACAAACTGAGATAAATGTTACTGCACACTCATCTACAAAAACATGGGTTTGTCCATTAATGAAGTGAATTTGTTTTAAAGGTCAACGATCTGTTTGTGAAATTGCCATTTGAACTGGAAGATGGTCGACTCTCAATATTCTACAGTGGGTATTTTGGCATGATAAAAACTGACTTTGGTCTGACCTTGAAATTCAATTGGGACAGCCACGTAGCATTGACTCTCCCCAGCACTTATTACGGTGTGTTGGGAGGGCTTTGCGGCAACTGGAACGACAATATCAATGACGAGTTTCTTACTCCTAACAACACTCTTGCTGCAACGGCATCCATTTTCGGAACCAGCTGGAAAGTCCAGGATGATCCTGGATGTTCAGATGCATGTCAGGGAAAAGCATGTCCTAAATGTGATGTTGCAGAGAGAAATAAAGACACTTTTACAAAACCTTGCAGCAAGATCACTGACAAACAGGGACCATTTAAAGGCTGCCACAGTAAAGTGAATCCAAATCAGTTTTATGAGGATTGTGTGTATGATATGTGTATGTACGGTGGCCATTCAACAGCCCTCTGTAGTGCTCTTACTGCATACACAGCTGCTTGCCAACATGCACTTGGTACCGTGGAGTCCTGGAGAACTGACAGCTTTTGCCGTTAGTATTAATTTATTTATTGCTCAATTCAAATATCTTAAACTACTCATTAAGTTTATAAGATGTTTTTTTACTTTTCATTAACAATATTCTTTAATATGGTCTCTCCACAGCTACAACCTGTAAGGCACACAGCCACTATGAGGTTTGTGCAGCGGGATGTCCACAGACCTGCAGTGGTCTTACAGAGCCCAAGAGTTGTAAAGGCACTCTCTGTGCTGAAGGCTGCACATGTGACAAGGGCTTTGTCCTTAGCGATGGTGAGTGTGTGGCTGCACAGCAATGTGGCTGTACTTACAAGGGCCAGTATTATCAGTTAGGCCAAGTGTTCTTCCCTCAAGACAAGTGTCTCCAGAGATGCACCTGCAAAGAAAATGGAAAAGTTCAGTGTGATGATGGGTTCACCTGCAAACCCAATGAAAAGTGCCAGATCCTGAATGGAGTACAGGGCTGTTTCCCAGATGGCAAAGCAGTTTGTTCAGTGTCAGGATTTGGGCTTTATCAGTCATTTGATGGAAAGTCCTTCAGTGTTCAAGGAGACTGTGAGTATAGGTTGGTTGAAGCAGTTCAGATTCAGGATGTAAAGAGCTCTTTCAGTGTCTTAATAAAACAACAGTCCTCTGAGATGGTCTTCACTCGAAAAGTTGAAATACAGTTACAGCAATCCACAATTACTTTGCTGCCCGGCCACATCTGGGAGGTTCAGGTAATGTTTTAGTTACTGATCATTGTTTTAAGAGATCAAGATTCACTGACTACAAAGTGTTTTGTCAACCTTTTTTACAGGTTGACAAAGTTAAAACCAATCTTCCTGTCACTGTGGGTGAAGGACTTATACAAGTCTATCAGAGTGGTATTAACATTGTTGTGGAAACAGACTTTGGATTGAAACTGACATATGATACAGTCTCCGTGGCCAGAATTGAGATCCCATCCACTTTTAAAAATGCAGTCAGAGGTCTCTGTGGAAACTACAATGGAAACAGTGCAGATGATTTTCTCCTACCTGATGGTATTCAGACATCTTCTGTGGAATACTTTGCTGAAGCCTGGGTTTCGCCATCAGATAAAATGATGTGCCAAACAGGCTGTGGAGCTAACTGTTTAAAGCCTGACAAAGACAAACAGACCACAGCAGAGATCGCTTGCAGCTTGTTAATCACAGAGAAGGGACCGTTTTCTAGTTGTTATGATAAAATTCCACCACAGAAATATTTTGATGATTGTGTCAAAGATGTGGCACAAGCAACAGACAAGACAGCTCATTGTCGCCACATACAAAACTACGTTGCCAGCTGTCAAGCGATTGGGATATCAATCATTGTTTGGAGGAACATAACCTTCTGTCGTAAGTGGTTGCGTGTTAGCAAATACACCCTTGGCATTCAGTTGAAGAGGATACAGTTCAAAATGGAATTGTATCAAACAAAATTTTACTGTATAGCCAATAGCTGGTCAATAAAAACAACCTTATATTTTTTTTCAGCAATCATGTGTTTGGCAAACAGTCACTATGAGCTTTGTACAGACACCTGTTCTTCAACTTGTGCTAGCCTGACAAACTCACAGAAATGTCCACCATGCCAGGAGGGATGTCAATGTGATGATGGCTTCTTGTTTGATGGAGGTGAATGCAAGGCTTTCCAGGACTGTGGCTGTCAAGTAGGTGGAAGGTTTTACAAGGTAAGAACTATTTTTTCTCTTGCAACATAAACTATCCCACAAGCCACCAGGTGATGTTCAGTTTCTTGTCTCTCCTTTGTTCTGCAGTCTGATGAGACAGTCGTTCGGGGAGAGTGTGAGGAGACATGCCTCTGCAAAGCTGGATTATTCACCTGTGAACCCTTGAAATGTGATGCTGATCAGATCTGTGATAATATAGAAGGCATCACCGGATGCTACAAGAAAGGTAAGTATATCTTTAATGAACATTTTAAATTATTTCACAATAAACATTGTAAGTCATTTACCATTTTCTAAATTAGACCTGAGTAGGTTTCAATGATGTTCATCTCTCTTCCAGATCCTTGCAGTAAGCAACAGTGTCGAGAACAAGAGTACTGCACTGTGAAGGATAACAAGGCACTCTGCATCGCAAAGTCAAAAGCCTCTTGCATTGCCAAGGGAGATCCTCATTACAAAACCTTTGATGGAAACCACTTCTCCTTTCAGGGAACTTGCACATATACTTTAGTTAAAACTTCAGGAAAAGACCAAACACTTACACCATTCAGCATCATCAATAAAAATGAGTTCACCAAAGGCACCCGCGGCTCTTTTGTCAAGTCAGCCACCATTACGGTCAGAGGACATGACATCACTTTCATCCAAGGCAGCCGCAATCATGTGACAGTAAGTACAGAACAGACAAATCCAACATGTGACCATCCCTCAAGTCAATATTAAAACATATCAGTGTTCCATTGAACTAATGTTGTACACCAGAGATAACAAACCCCACCCTGCAGGGCAAACTTAAGTTCCAGCTCTACTACAAGGGTGGCCAACCCTGTTCCTGGAAAGCCACCTTCCTGCAGATTTCAGTTGCAACCCATATCAAACACACCTGCCTGTAATTATCACGTGGTGTTCAGATCCTAATTAATTGGTTCAGGTGTGTTTGATATGGGTAGCAACTGAAATCTGCAGGAAGGTGGCTCTCCAGGAACAGGGTTGGCCACCCGTGCTCTACTGCAACAACATTGTAAAAGGTAATCTGATGGCAAATAAAAACAAAAGGCAAATTAATTACTTGGAAAGGTTACAAAAATTATCATGAAAGTGCATTTTCAATGATCAATTGAATACTTTTGGATTTGCCTCAGTACTGATTTTTGAGATTAGTTTGAAACATTACTAGTTGTTTTAGGTATGTTCACATTGGGTTATTTTGTTGGATCTCCTGCTGTTATATCACATTGCAAAAGACTATCTTAAATATTAGAGAACACTTTGTACCAGTAGAACAGATCTTATTGGTTCTCAATTGTCATTCCTTGTATTGGTGTTTGGCAAACCTGCCATCAGCTACTTGACAGAACCAGCATGACATTGGATGAAAACAACAGATTTAGCTTGGAGAGCTGATTTTGATCATTTGTAAAGTGTTTGTAATCAACCCTGAATAAATATTCTTGAGGTTGGATTTAACATCCCTCTTTGCTTCGGCAAGGTCCACATGAGGCTGCACCTCAACTCTTACCCATGCAATGTTGCACGAATGGGTGGGGAATTCTTCCCCAGAACAAAACCATAGTGCCAATCCAAATTGTATGCTAGTTAGTTAACGTTTACCAATGTGGTCCTGTAATAGTTAGAGCTTAAATATCCATGATGATAGCCCTCCAGGTTTAGTGTTTGCTGCCCTGTTGCATACTCTGGAAATATTCTAATCATGTCTGCTTTCTTTTTATCCTATTCAGGTTGATGGCGTAGTTTCACATCTTCCAGTGATCTTAAATACTGAAGGCATCAGCATAATTCTGTCACGCAATGTAGGAGTTCTTCAAACAGATTTTGGCTTGGAGGTCATGTTTAATTGGGCAGATACCATTATGGTGACATTGTCCAGTAGCTACTATAATAATGTAGTTGGAATGTGTGGAACCTACAGTAACAAACTGGACGATGATTATATCACACCCAATGGTAACAGAATAACTGACATCACAGAATGGGCGACGTCTTGGAGTGTCCCTGAAACCAACAGCAACTGCTGGCACTTTCCCCCTTGCTCGGATGAAAAGAAGCTGCTCTATAGCGGACAAAGCTACTGTGGTTTGATAGAGAATGTAACCGGCCCATTTGCCCAATGCCATGACATTATATCAAAGAGGCGTTTCGCTGCTGACTGCCTTTTCCAAATGTGTCTTAATGAAGGCAGTCAGAAGGCTTTCTGCAATGCCTTCAATAATTATGTGTCAGCGTGTGCGCTGGTAAATGCTGATGTCTCTCCAGACTGGAAGAAGCTTGCTAATTGCTGTAAGTAATGTCTAAGGCTCAAGTCTTTAATTAATAGATATTATATTTATCCTAACATCCTTTGTTTTTTCCCCAACAGGATGAATTTTGTTTTCTTCGCCGGACTGCTTACATCCCAAAAAACAGTGAATATGATTATGAATTAATAAATTAAATTTGGTTGTGAATTCAAAATGAATGTATTCACTCACAATATAATGTCTCAGATTTTATTATTACATATGTGATATGGTGTTTAAAAGGCATGTTTAAGTCTTGTTTTTTTTTTCTTAAAGAAATACATGAGTGCCAGCTTGTCCTGTTCAGAAATCAGTTAATTATTAATCTTGGGTAAAATTGATTTGTTTCAAAAGTAGATGTATTCTTTTAAATGCCTCGTTACTTATTAAACTCTTGCATCATTAAGCTATTTAGCAGTGTCATTTCTTGTTTAAGTGAATTTTTTAATTAGAAGCTGCCCATCAATCACAATCTGTTTATTGCTCTCTCTCTCTCTCTCTCTCTCTCTCTCTCTCTCTTTCTCTCTCCCTCTCTCTCTCTCTCTCTCTCTCTCTCTCTCTCTTTCTCTTTATATATATATATATATATATATATATATATATATATATATATATATATATATATATATATATATATATTTGTTTTGTAGCAGAAATAGTATTTGTTAAATTGACATGCATATAAAAACAATAGTGCAAAATAAATGTTTCTTACTACAATTCTTCATTTTTGTTTGATGCAAACCATGAATGTATTTTTCATTAAGTAATAGTCAGACTTTTTATAGCAGATAACTCACATTCAAGCACATTCAAGACAGCATGATAATGAGAAATGTAATTCATTGTTAGTATTATTGTCATCATCTTCATCATTAATATTCTATAATTATTAGACCTTTGTTTTGCACAAATATCAATGTCATCACAGCATTCATTAGATAGTTGTTTCTGGTTTTTGTTATTCCTAGTTGATGTTGTTTTCAAGTACAATAAACCGCTTAATATACAGTTTGCGGTGGTGCTCATTAATTTTTGATGGGTGCTCCTACATTTTTTCTGGTGCTCCTAAATATTTTAAGTTGGGAACACCGGTGCTACCAAGTAAAAAAAGTTATTTTCGAGCCCTGACACACCGAATTTATCAGCACAGCTCAGCACGGTTGTCTAACTGTGCCAAGAATACCGGGCCAAGAATGGTTTGTGATCGTGCCGCGCTGTTATAGGCTCAGTGGAGAAACAACCATAAACGTACTGAACTGTTCTTAGAAGAGCAGCTATTGACATTGATGACATAAATTACATTGATTAAAAGCTATGGACAAAGGCCCACTGTGACACCTTGATTAATCCTTCTGCTTTACTTAAATGTGTTATCTGCATTATGTTATTCCATTTGAAAATATATTACTTTTAAGCCACTGCAGTTGCAGCTCATGCAAGTCGTGCTGATAGTAATTTTTTTTCGAAGGTATTAAAAAAGGTAGTAGATTCATCTCAGGAAGTTCTGTATATACCCTGAGAAGAGTATGAAACGGAACTGCTCATGATCCTAAGCAGTGAAACATGGTGGTGGTAGTGTCAAGGCGTGAGCATGTATGGCTGTCTTGGATCTGGTTCTTTTGTATTTATTGATGATGTGACTTCTGACAAAAGCAGGGAAATGAATTCTGAAATGTTTCTAACATTTTAATTAACTGAAATAAAAACGAGAGTTTTATTTTAAACTAGAACTGCCTGAAACTGTATCGCGTACATCCAAAACTAACTAAAACTAACGAAAAGCTTTCATCTTTGTAAATGTATTTTAAAAGAAACCCAGCATCTGGTTATGTCTATGCGTTCCAAACTTCAGGCTGTAAATAACTGTAAATGATTTGCAACAAAGTATTAAAAGGTAAAAGTTTGATTTATGATTATTATTCTGTCCAATTACTGTTGGTCCCTTAACAAGTGGGAGGCACATATGCTAATTGTTGTAATTCCTACAGCATTCACCAGCATTTGCAGCATTCACCTGATTCCTGATTGACTAATTTTATTTTAGTCCTATGCCTAACCCATATATAAAATACATGTAAATACATTTAGATGACTTTAGTCATTACTAAACGTGAAGAGACTTTCATCCAGTAAAAAAATAATAATGTTTCTGAAGACCATCGCCTGCTGCACCTTTTATTTATGCAGTTTGTTTATCATGCGGTACTGCTTCAGGCTGTTTTTGTTCTTGCTAGTAAAACCACATGCGTGCAAAACGAAAGTAGACGTGGCAGATTAGAACAAATTTACATAAACAGTAATGTTTATCTAATAAATGTATTCTTCATTGCAATTGTTTTTATAAATACATTATATAAGATTTTATTATTGGAACATTATTGTAAAGTGTTACCAAATAATTGAATAAAAACAAATTAAATACGCTATTGCTGTCAACGTACACAAGAATTGATTATTTTCATAATCCAAGCTCTTATTTAATGTTTTATAGCTTCAATGTTCATTATTACATGCCAAAAAATGCCCAATCTTTTAACTGGTAATAAAACTAAGCAGTAATTTTGCCTTTGACTGGCAAAATAATCTTCAGATATCATCTATTCACCCTAATCAGGCATGTGCATTGAGCTGCTGCCTGTAGCTAAACCTCTCAGTTTACCTCAGTGCACAAGAGCATGGTTTTAATTCTGGTTATATCATTTTTCCTAAACACCATGATCAAGAAGAACAAACTTCTATAATTCTATACATAATTTTAAAAAATATTTTTAATTAAAGGAATCACCTCTGCATGAGAATAAATTTAATGCATTCCTATTAATGCATACAGAAAATACATTGAGTATGAAAGCTAGCCATGACAAATAGGTTTACAGTGAAGTAATGACACTTGTAAATTTATTTATAACACTATATATACATCTCTGTGTAAGCATCAGTGTTTACATTCTCATTTTGCGTCATATGGCCTAAAATATGAGACATTGTATGATTTATGTAATGACTAAGGGTTTGGCGAACATAAAAGTAGAAATATATTAATAGGTGGAGTCCAGCAGTGTCAATAATTCAAGGGATGTGGGAGGACATTGTTGGAGTATGTGCTGATTATTTTGCATATGACTGATGCGTGCATGCAGAAGAACTTTGTACAAGATCTGCTGGCACTTTTATGCACATTATTTAAATTCCTTCAGAAAACAATTGCATCACAAACAATATTTTGAAAAAGGTTACTATACATACATGCGTTAAAAAATACATAATTAATATAGGTGGCACAGTAGGTAGTGCTGTTACCTCACAGCAAGAAGGTCGCTGGTTCGAGCCTCGGCTGGGTCAGTTGGCGTTTCTGTGTGGAGTTTACATGTTCTCCCCGTGTTCCCCAGTTTCCCCCACAGTCCAAAGACATGCGGTACAGGTGAATTGAATAAGCTAAATTGTCCGTAGTGTGAATGAGTGTGTATGTATGTTTCCCAGAGTTGGGTTGCAGTTGGAAGGGCATCCGCTGCGTAAAGAAATGCTGGATAAGCTGGCGGTTCATTCCGCTGTGGCAACCCCAGAGTAATAAAGGGACTAAGCCGAAAAGAAAATGAATGAATAATTAATATAGACATCTAACTGTTTTTTAACAATTTCTTTTTAAAGTAATCAACAAAAATCAATCATGAAATGTTCTATGAAGTAACACTTATTGCCTATTGTTCTGTTTCTGAAAATTTCTATATGTTACTTGTCAAACTGGATTGTAGGTAATAGAAAGACATTGTTTTTTATCCTTATGTCATTTCTTCAGAGGATGGCAGCTCTTAAGTAGGAACCTTTTGAAGATTTTAATTAAGATTTAAGAAAAAATGTGAAAGTAAACTAACAATTTTAAGAATGCAGTTAAAACCAGTCACTCATGCGCTGATTTTCATTTTTCTAGAATAAAAACTTTATTCTTCTCGATTAAAATAATAAATCTGAAAACAATGGGTCTTGCTCATAAGGGTTTTCTAAAATTGCAACAGGAGTTTCATCATAAATCAACATATAATCAAAATAAGTCATATGTGTTCCTTTGCACATATTGTTACATAAAGCTCAAATGAAAATTTTTGCAATCACACAATGCTTTGGAGGGCCAGTGATATTCACCTTTTTTATCATAATTTATTTTATTTATTATTATCCGACTTTTATTAGTATTATTACTGTCAGATGTGATGTTTAGCTAAAGCACATGAATGCCCTATTTGTGTGTGAGGCCTTTGGATTCCCCTTCGGTTGGGGAACTTCAGTGCCATAGAGTGGATTGATTGAAATCCACGAATGGGAGAATTTGGATCAGAAGCCGCTTTTCTGGAGAGTATTGAACGGGCCAATGAATGAAAATGAATTGGCAGCGTAAGCTTGCGCAGGTGTGCTGCATCGCCAATTATCCCAGCACAAAAGCACACCTGAAGCGAGCAAACGCCATCCTTTTCGCTTCAGATCCTTTCTGAGTGAGTCGATGAGGGTTCCTCTTGCTGTTCAGCACTTCAGAGCGAACGAGTGTCTCCCGGTCCAGAGTGGGTTTTCGCGGCGGCAGACGGTCGAGCTGGGTTTCTCCCTTGCCTGCGGTTCTTTGGGTCCGGTCCTCCAGAGCGGTGCGTATTGTTGCAACTTTCCTAAAAGAGCAACACAGTCGTGCAGCACGTCCTTTTCAGGATGGCGCTCTGACTGTGCGTTTCTGGATGCGGGGGTTTCCTGGCTCCGGATGATGGACACGATCACTGCATTGCATGTTTGGGGGTCCAGCATGTTAATGCGGTCCTCGCGGGCGGTTCATGTCGTCATTGCGATGCCATGACCGCTGCACAGCTAAGATCGCGGCTAACTTTCGTAAGAGAGCGAGCCACCCCAGTTGCCTCCTGTTCTAAAAAAGCAGCGGGCGCTCGGGCAGATCTGAGGGTTCCAGTGGGAGATAATCCGCCGCCCACGGGCTCGCGGACCTCTCGCTCCTCACGGCGCTCCATCCAAGCTTCGGGTAGTGGGAGTGATCCGTCTAACCAGATGGTAGCTCTCACGCTCGCTGACACCGGAGAACAGATGTCCTCCGCGGCATCGGAGGGTGGGCTTTAACTGTCCGACGAAGATCCGGACCCGCTCGCCCCCTTCGGGCAGGTGAGTGCCGTCAAATCGGATTCTGAAGCGGACATGTTAGCCGTGCTTTCCCGGGCTGCTTCGGCCGTGGGGTTGGAGCTGGTTTATGCCCCAGCTCCGCGGCCGGACTGACTAGATGGGTGCTATGTAGAGGACCAGAAGGCGAAGCCTTCGAAGCCTCTCGTCCCCTTCTTCCCGGAAGTGCACAGTAGGCTCACGCAGTCTTGGAGGGCACCTTTCATTGCCCGTGCTGCGTGTCCCTCCGCCCTCACCGCTCT